TAATTTAATAGCACTTTATTATACAATGTGTTGCCAAATAACAACACAATTTCATTTTATCGTCTCATTTCATGATTTAGTTTAATGTATAGTCAGTGAGACTATAATGAATTCACACACAAAAAAAAATGACCCAAAATACTTAAATACATGTTTGTGTGCTGTTGTATACCTCGTTGTTATTGTATTTATTACAATGTAATACATAATACATAACGAAAAGGGGGTAAAACGAGTTCAATTATTATAATAATGTGTGGATAATCGTATGAATATAACCACAAGTTTAGGGCGAAGGGTCTGTTCCCCACATAAATCCTAATAACAGTAATGGGAAAGTATTTTTGTTTTTCATTTGTTTAACATATTTTGTATCGCATTTTCGCCAATCGATTATTTTCACAACAAAAATACGTTTTTATCGAAACTAACAAAAGCCAGAATTAATTAGAAATTATTTTCATTGAAAAACATAGTGACGAGAGAGAGAGAGAGAGAGAGAGAGAGAGAGAATTTTATTTCAATTGCGATTAAAATGAATGAAACAAGAAAAATATATATCGTTTTTTCGCTAAATTTCATATCAAATCGCTTTTTCGACTATCCTTTCGATGTTTGGCATAAAAATAATATATAATGTGAAGTATATAACAGAGTAGAGGAAACACTCAAATAAAGACTATTTTTAGAAAATTAGATAAACTTTTTTCATTTTATTTCCCATTTTTCTACTCGTTTTCGACCGAAAAAACCAATAATTTTATCGATTTATAGGATTAACGTCTGCGAGAAGATTGCAAATAATATATAATTAGCGAAACGTGTATTTTAAGGGGATTTTTATGATGAATACAAAAATTATATAATAAATTATAAGTGGTTTTGCGCCTAAAAAATCCAGAGATTATATAACGCCAGCGATAGAGACGACTTGTATTGGGTAAGGGATCGCATGACTGAGCGTAACATCTATTAAATATCTTCAAGGAATACATTTCATATAATATTATACACATTCTGTAAAACAATATTGTATTTTACACTCTCATTGAATGCACAATAAAAACCTTAACACACAATGAAATTTAATTAAAAATCTCTCGAATAAAACCCAAACAAAACACTATGTAATACAAACACAACACCACAAAACGTATTGTGTGCATAAATATTAGCGTTTCATTCATTTAATTTCATAAATTTATGTATAAATATGCGTATAAATCGATTCGCATAAATATTTATGTGCTTTTTAATGAAAAACATTACTATAAACCATATGTATGTAGAAATTAAATATAAAAATAGTTTACAAAAACAGGATATAAAGTGAAAACAAAACACACCATTGAAAGGGAAAGGCGGTGTCGGGGGAAGGGATGGCAGGGGTGTGTAGGAGGGGTGTCGTACCTGCAATAACCAGTAGCACCGGCGGTGAAATGTGGGCAAAATGGCCGAATGGACATAACATCCATATATGCATTCGGTTCCCTGCACTTTGAGTTTCATGTGGTCCTCGCGAGTGGTCTTTCCGTCCTTACGTTTCTTCCAACAGTAGCCGTCCCGTCGATAGCGAACCCTTTTCCGCGAGTATAACATCATTGAACCGCTCTTTGGCCTACATTTTCATTGGGTATACAATTGTATCAATAATTGTCGTTAATTTCTATAAAGAATATTTTATTTAATTATCCTAAAAATTTATGCATAAATCCAATGCCGGAAAAAATCTGCGAAACTGTTATCAAATTAGCGAAACACTAGGAAAACGAAAACAAATAAATAAACAAAACAAAAAATCCGACACTCATTAGAGAGACTCTCTCTATCTCTCTCTCTCTCTCTCCGCATCTCTATATACAGTAGCGCTGCGAGAGATGGAGAGAGAGAGAGAGAGAGAGAGAGAGAACTTTATGTTTACCGAAAGACATTTCTAGGACTCTCTCTCTCTCTCTCTCTCTCTCTCTCTCTCTCCGCATCTCTATATACAGTAGCGCTGCGAGAGATGGAGAGAGAGAGAGAGAGAGAGAGAGAGAACTTTATGTTTACCGAAAGACATTTCTAGGAATTGCGGGAATAAAATGAAAAATTACAACTCAAATGAGTTTTAATTATATAAACTAAAAGTTATATTTATTTTCTTAAATAAATATTTAACTGAAAATAAATGTCTGGTAAAAGACTGTTTGCGCCTAAAAATAATTTTTAATAATTATTCCGCAAATTAATTGAATTATAAAAATATACAAAACGAGTGTAAGAATTGGCGCCAATTATGTTACCCGTACTCTCTCTCTCTCTCTCTCTCTCTCTCGTCACTATGTTTTTCAATGAAAATAATTTCTAATTAATTCTGGCTTTTGTTAGTTTCGATAAAAACGTATTTTTGTTGTGAAAATAATCGATTGGCGAAAATCTCTCTCTCTCTCTCTCTCTCTCTCGCTGTGTTTATGTATAATATCTCAGTGTTTTGGTGCGGAATTCCTAGAATTCTTGTGCCTTTTCACTCGATTCTGGGACTGGAATCCCAATGTATAGACAAAATAGAAAAAGACAAAAAGCGGATGATTTTTAGTGGGATTTACACGTATAAAGAATGTGTCTTTCATCTGACAAATCCATTATCGAGTTATTGAATAGAAAGTTGTGTTTAAAAAAATAGTTGTCATAATTGAGACATTAAAGAGTAATGAAAACGATTGATGTGTTGCCGATAAAAATCCGATAATTACTTTACTTCTCTCTCCGAAAATAGTCGTCCGATAAAAGTCTTATATAAAAACCGATAATTACATCATATATTTTATATACAGATATAATGTACAGAATATATCCATCGGTCTTAGGAATGAACTCAACATAACGTCAAGAATCGGCACAGAATAGGCCAGAAATGGTAGAGAATTAAGACCTAAATTAAGCACTCAATTGAGGTCAATGTTATACCAAAGTGTATATATTCTGTATATATAAAAGCACACAAAGTGTTTGTTATAGTGTTTCTATATGTGTGTGTATAGTGTACTGCATATACAGAGCACAGACAGAATATCTATCACTATAGCAATAGGGCTTTGGATATATTGTGTATATTCTTGAATAGGAGTTCGTGTCTGCGATACCAAAACCCATACATACATTGAAAACAGTATCCATATATACGAGTACTGTATAATCAAAGGGAGACTGAAAATTCATTTAAAGGCAATCGCGAACACAATTATTGTATAATTTTGTGATTATTGTATAATAAAAAAGCGGTTAATACTCTGTACTCATACTCTTTTTTCGGCCATTTCTTTCATATATTGTGTGCTGTAATGTGTTATACGTTTTTGGGTTATAGTTTTGATGTGAGTGTGTGTTTCTGCAAGCATTTGATTGAATTGGGAATTGAGTGCAAAATAGACATCAAGTTTCTAAACATGTCTACGATTTTCATTCAAATGAAAAATAATGTATAAAAATGTATATAAAATATAAAATCGAGAGCAAAATATACACTAAACTATTCTCTTGTATATCAAATACGAGGAGAGAGAGGGAGAGAGAGAGAGAGAGATGAGCCAAAGAAATAAAATCTATTTTATGCGCGTTTTTCACAGAGAAAATCATTTCCAAGAATAAACGACTCGTCAGAGCAATAAAGCAAACAATAAATTAAAACAAATAAATGCATACAAAACACACGCACAACAAAACCGCTGGAAAACCCTTTTTAAAAATATTTATCAATTAAAACATATCTCTTTTGAGAGTAAAACACAAATAAATAACACTTAAAATAAGATATAAAAAATGATTGAATAAATATATTTTTGTAAAAATAATATTTGCCAATAAATTATATGATAAAACACAAGACATATAATACTGTATAAACAATTTACTATAAGATGTATGTAATCATCGATTAGATAATAATTTAATTACCGCTTCACTCATCAAATTACGGGAAATTCTTGCGTCAAATACAGTAATTATTTGGTAAAGAATTGCTAAAACAATTAAATCAATCAAAACAAAACAAACAACAAAATAAAAACACTTGTATTTACATGTAATTGATATGAAATATTATATCTGTTTTAATGTGAAAATCGATAACAATTACCAATTTTTATATTCATAAAAGTTTTTTTTTGAGTAAAAAATAAGAAAACACAAGAAAAACGATAGGAAAATAAAAAGCAAAATAAATATTAGAATTAGTTTTACTAAAAATATATTTGATTATATGATTTGCTGTTCAGCTCTACTTCTTTATGTAAGCCTTTTATTTTAATGTAATTTGAAAGGCATTTCAAATGCTGAGCACTTGCTCTCTATCGCCCCAGAAATGCAAAACCCTATGAATCCATAATAAGTTATATAAGTGGATATAATTGCGGTCCACATATGGTATACCATTTAGAGAGAGAGAGAGAGAGAGAGAGAGAGAGAGAGAGAGAGAAAGAGAGAGAATAACAATATTTTATAAATACAAAATGACAGTTTGTGCAAAGGATTGGACAGTCGAGAGAGAGAGAGAGAGAGACTCAATGAATGATACAGAATATTCTTGAATATCGTGTCATATATTTGATTGCGAATCAAAGTAACAAATGGGAGAGAAAACTAAATGACTATCAAAATAAGGCATAAAAATTGAAGCGATTAATAATTAAATCGTTAGACGAGTAAAACACGGCATAAATATCACTGAGATTTTGTCCGCTCTTATCCGCCAACGGAATCGATCGCTGCATTTAATACTTGTATATAATTTCACATAAATTTATTGAATCGATTCGTCGGTAGATATAAAAAGCAAACAAAATATTTCAGTGGATTTAATGAACAGAAAATAAATTGAGATAAATATAAAATAAATATCAAAATGCTTTAATTATATCAAGAATTGTGGCTTTAATTTATGGAATAAAAATATTTTTCATTGCAAAACATTGGGCACTAATCGACAGAATATTCTTATCGCGTAAATCGATAGCCGATTCACACGAGCGCCGGAAACACACACTCAGAGAAAGAAAGCTAATAATAATTATTGGTTTCAATTATATAACTAATAATCATTATTTTTACGGATTTTTAATGACATTTTATGGCAATTCAATCGGTTGTGAAGTAACGCCACGCGAATGGCGAGAGAGAGAAAGGGAGGAAGGGAGTAATGGAGAGAGAGTGTGTGTTTTTTATCATCTCCTTGTAATTTGTAATTAAAAGGTTTCTATAAATAAATATACACTAAACTATTCTCTTGTATATCAGATACGAGGAGAGAGAGAGAGAGAGAGAGAGAGACTACTGGGTGTCGGCGGCAGAAGGACGGCGCCGGTGGGGACAGACATTGTTCCCAGTAATCGATTGGACATTACATTACATGTCAAACAAAAAACAACAACAAAAACGGCATCTCATTTGCAAGACATGCATGGATTAGGTCTGCAAATGGTTTAACCAATACATCGATTGATATGTAAATTACGTAAAAAAGTCGGACCTTATTTTCACTTCTTTGGAGAGCCATCCCTCGTGCCTATCGATCGCTATGAGAATCGCTGCGATCTCTTCATTCGTCGACCACCGATGCCTGAAGACCAGGAGGAATGGTATCAATAAGACTGGTCGACAACAACACACACATCGTGTGTGTCCTCTAACAAGACATACCTCTGAACGGGAAAGCACTCAGACTTCTGTATCGAATCCAAAGTGTCGGGAAGTATTGAACCATTCATTGTCTTCAGGGCTGTCATCGGCGGCGGCGGTGATAATCAGTTGATCCGCCGAAACGATCGGACACGTTATGAGTCAATACACAAGAATCGGCGCCGATATTAATCTCAAGAGTAATAATACAATGGGAAACACAGTCAACACTGGATCTGTTTCGTCGGGCGAAGAGTTCAGTTGATAATAACAATAATCAGACGACAAAAACAATGGTAAACACTGAGTAAACGATCACATCTTCGGCGCTCCGGGTTTGAGACACAGAGAGAATAAGAGAGAGTATAAGAATCGGTCCAAAAGTGTGTGCTTTAATAGGAGTGTCCGGTCATGGGATCAGCTGTGGTGATGATAGTGTGGGTACTGTATGTGAAGAGTATAACCACAATATATATCGCGAGTCAAACACAACACACGTCTAGAGTGTTGTCTCTCTCTCTCGGAGTGATGTCTCTCTTTGAGTGCAAAATATAAATAATAATAAAATGGCAGTACTTTTGACACTCACTCTCTCTCTCTCCTCTCACACACACATACCGTACAGACACTACATCTACTGTAAATCCAGCCCTTGTATGTCAAACGCCGGCTCCTATCGCACACATATCTCTCTGGTGTTAACTCGTCTCAGACACTGAATCGGGAAATTGTATTTATACTTATATATGGGGTAAAAGGTTTTGCTGTGAAGTTTTTGTTTAATGTATTCATTACTTGTGTTTCAAAATTAGTGTCTTATTTATAGAAACCTTTTAATTACAAATTACAAGGAGATGATAAAAAACACACACTCTCTCTCCATTACTCCCTTCCTCCCTTTCTCTCTTTCATTGGTATGTAGACACTTTTTCGAAAGACATTTTTTCGAAAGACATTTTTTCGAAATCATTTTTTCGAAAGACATTTTTTCGAAAGACATTTTTTCGAAAAAATTAATTTAAATTTACTTTAAACTCATTAGATTAAGTTAAATTGCTAATAATATCATCAGTTAAGTTATTATAAGTTAGTTTAGGTTAGTTTAGGGTAAGTTAGGTTAGGTTAAACTTGTTAATTCTTTAATTTAAATTAATTTTTTCGAAAAAATGTCTTTCGAAAAATTGGTTTCGAAAAAATGTCTTTCGAAAAAACGTCTTTCGAAAAAATGTCTTTCGAAAAAATGTCATAGAATCAATATATTTATTTACTCGTAAAGCCTATAAATTCTGTTTAATTCTTGGCATCGCATCCAAAAGCAATTTCGTCATAACAACAATCAATTCATGTATATTTTATATCATATGCTTATTCTTGCGATAA